TTGCAGCTCCGCCCGTTTCTGTGGTTGGGCATTCTAAAACACATCTGAAAACGCACTCTTTCATGATAAATAGCCAATGGCTATCAAACTTATCTTGAAAAAACCTCCAGCCAAACAGGTTAACTGGCGTGGAGGGCAACAGCCGCAACTCTTAATTCAATTAATTTTAGATAATTTGTAGATGTACGTCCATATCATCCATGATATTGAGATATTATGTAAATTCATGTAGAATTCCACATAGAAAGTGCCCTGCCTAAAATAGAGACTAAAAATAAATTTAGTGCAAACAAAATAGTTATGGGCGCTTGACAAACAAATAGAACAAAAAGGAAATTTTTTACCAATGTGGCCATATGCAATATATCAACATCAAGACAGAAAAGTAATCAAGCTCGATACTCATGAGCAAGTGTATTTTATTTCCTCGCTTTATGCTATTATCCATTGAAAGGACAGTATCTTCCTGCCTAGAATATCCAGAAACACAAAATGAAACATCAAGCAAATCAATGGTTGTGAATAAACTCCCATGAGGTTTACCGAATCCTGCCAAGAGATCACAAAAACTTATCAATCTCTTGAAATATATAGGGGATTCAAACAGAAATACAAGCAATGCAGTTGCATCTCATTGACACAAATATGAAATATACACAGCACGCGCGCGCACACACACACACACACACACATTTAGCAAGGAAACAAAGTGTAAGCCTGGTTAAAAAAAAATAAAAAAGAAAACCAAAAAAATTTATAAGTTGGGTAATGTAGTTGCATCTCGTAAACGTCTAAGTTTTGCAAATTGATATTCATGGATGACTGTGATAAGATTAGCTGAGTATTTAGCTCACAGTCTTGGTGTAGTTCAGAATGCAACCCGACACCTTGCTCCTATCTTTTATAGGGGAAAGAATTTCTTAATCCCTAAGGTTTGGCCTAATTCACTACTTCGTCCTTCCATTTTCAAGAACTAATTTAATAGTCCCTAAAATTTCAATCCATCAAACAAAAACATCCTTTTGGCTTTTTAATGTTAAGTCAAATAAGGAACACAGGTCAGAAGTGAGAGAAACCAAGATAAAGACAAATACAACCATGTTCCTTGCTCAAATCTCCAATTTCTACCACCATTTCCATTCTCCACTCAATTCCATTAGTCACCACAGCCATTAAACAACACCATAACCACCAGCATAACATGTCTTTACATTGAAACCAAAATAGAAATCAAGCAGACTCAAGTGGCAAAACATCCAAACCTGTAGCGATATTTCATTAACATCCATAACGAGTACCTTCCTTAGGACAATTCTTTAATGAAAATCCTTGGGCCTTTAGAAGATCCAGCAGCTAATATGAGGGAATAATTCTTTTTCAGAAATATATAGATAGAGGGACTCAGTATTTCGGTTTTTGTATTTCAATTGTTGATTAAAGAATGTTCTATTATTAAAACATATTTACTTTTATTTTTGATATCAAAAAAAAGAAATAGGTTGTCACAAAAACACAATTATTTTAAAAAAAGAATGGTATGATGGAGTTTTGAAGATAAAGATTATGATGAAACTGAAAAATGGAGAATGGAGAGTGAAAGAAAGGGCATTGTTGTCTTTTCACACCAAATAAATGGTAAAATCAACAAAAATAGAGGGAAGCACCTATCAGTTTCACAGACTGAAATGTGAGGGACTATTGAATCAGTTCTTGAAAATGGATGGATGAAGTATTGAATTAGGCCAAACCTTGAGGACTAAAAATTTTTTTTCCTTTTCAAATTCCAATTCACCAAAAAAATGATACTGACAGCAATATGCCTTGCATATTAACAAAACATGGAAATCTAATAAATAAACAAGAACAAAAAATTAAACGTAGAAAGAACTTCATAAAGAGACAATTCACAATAAATTGAGGCAAAAAAAAAAAAAAAAAAAAAAAAAAGAGACAATTTTCACATATAATTGGAGTGCAAAAAAAAACAAAAAACAAAAACAACAAGACCACGCAGCGCTCCAAAAAAAAAAAAAAAAAAAAAACAAAGAAAAAAGAGGTCCCACTATGCTGTATTAACTTGACAGAAGATAAAGAGTGACAATGGTAAGTAGTAATGTGGGTGACACATCTAACAACACATATGTTTATAAACACACGGATGTACTCTTTCCATTTGAAACGATAAAGCTTATTACAAGAAACCACAAATCTTCTAATTTTTAACAAGCAAAATAAGGATCACAAACAAGAGTCATTGTTCTCCACAACTAATTCCAACATAAAGAGCATGTGAAAAGACTAAACAGAAATTGCCAGCAAGGTATTTTCTAGTTTCACCACTAGATGGACCACAACTATTCACATCCAATTCCTTCCAGCACAAAGCACGGAAAGCAAATTCCTATAAGGTGGCAACGTGGGAATTGGTTCACAGATTCCAATTTAAGTTTCGGAATCTCTTTATTCAAAACATGATGTCTGGGTATCATATTTCAAGGAATTTTTGACATTTGGGAGATATACTTACAAAAATGCACATAAGACCAGTTACAAATAGTTCATTAAAGTACATGCAGTTTCTTAGCAAAAACAAAAAGAGAAACATCAAATAAACCCTTCCACCTTGCCCCATGGTTAGAGAAGGCACAAGGCGCATTAAGGTACAATTGGGGTCCTGAAGACTATGTGAAAAGCACTCAGCACAGGTGCACGCCTGAGTGACATGAGACACAAAAGGAAAAAGGAAAAAAAAAAAAAAAAAAAAAAAAAAAAAAAAAAAAAAAAAAAAAAAAAAAAAAAAAAGAAAAAAAAAAAAGAGGAGATTGATATTTACACACAAAAGTGTTTTGAGGCAGCCAGAGGCTGCCCCTTAAAAAAACCTGAGCACTTGATGCCTTGCCAATTCAGTTCAGTGGTTCATTATCTACTAGCCTTTAGAATTTAACTTGCAAAACCTGAACAAAACACAAGTATTTGAGAATGAACTTGCCGCAAAGGTGACTAAAATTCTCCCAACTTAGGAAAACTAAGTACAAAATAGCTTAACAATGGGAAAATCTTGCGACAATTGAAACGAGAGACAAAAAGCAATAAGGACAAAGACATATTTATTCCTCACAATATCATAGAATCAACAAGTACTTACACTATTATTCAACAGAACATGAGATAGCAATCAAAAAAAAAAAAAAAAAAAAAAAAAAAAAAAAAAAAAAAGAGGAGAATTGATATTATAGTCGCCCAAGTGTTTGAGGCACCAGAGGCTGCCCCTTACACCTGAGGTGCACTTGATGCCTTGCCCAAATTCATTCAGTGGTTCAATTATTCTACCTTTAGAATTTAACTTGCAAAACGAACCAAAACACAAGTATTTAGAAGGAACTTGCGAAAAGGTGATAAAATTCTCCAACTTAGGAAAACTAAGTAACAAAAGCTTCAACAATGGGATATCTGCGACAATCTGAAACGAGAGACAAGCAATAAAGGACAAACATATTTATTCCTCACAATATCATAGATATCCAACAAGTATTACACTATTACTCAGACAGAAACCATGGAATAGCAAAATCAAAATTCAAAAATGTAAACAATAAAATCAATGCACATAATTGCCCAAACATGTATTCACTGTCTATCTCCTAGATACTTTCACATCATTCTTCATTTTCTTTTTCTCAGTTATCTGATTAACTTCACTTTGAAAGCCTCATGTGTACTGCTCAAAGAGATTGCAAGTATCTGTTGAGATTTAGCTACCGTTTTCAACAAAGGTTGCATGGTATGGCCCACATGGACCAGATTTTAGGCATCCACAGTTAGATCATTCTTATTGCAGTATTTACATCATGGCATTCTTCCTTCAGTAATAACTAATAACTCTATTCTAAAACCAGTGCAATTGACAAATAGAATATAATATACTTTTTATTTTTTATTCATTTATTTTGATTTAGAATACAATTTGCTATCATTTTACACACAAAATAATATCCATTAACTGGATCAACAAACATTAAAATTCATTCAGACTAAATGTCAATACCACAGATTCACAAACAATAGCTGATAGCGAAAAATAAGAAAAGGACAAAAACATATACAGACATCTTCACAATTGAAAATATCACAGTTATTGATTCATCTCTACAAGGAATACCAAGTTAGAAACTAATAAATGCTAAAAATCTGCCCAGTCAATCTCCCAGTTGGAACAAACAAAATATGTCAATACAACCATAGAACATTTTCACAGATTAGAAAACCTCATTAACGCGTCTTGGACATACTTTGCATACAATATTCACTGGTCACAACAATGAACAAGAAAAAAGTTTTGAGCTATCAAGGGAAAAGGGCGTGTCACAGAGCATGAAGAAGATTTCTCAGAGATCCCATCCTTCCAACTCTGTCCGTCAAACCCCCAACCAAATAAAAGATTAAAATAAAATTGACAAACAAATTACTCAAATCAAAACAAATTGATGAAGTTATAAGAATGTAAATTAAATGCATATATTGATTAACTACTAACACCAAAAAATTTTCAGCCTAATTAAGGCATCCAAACAAAGAAAATTGACCAATTAATTCAGTAAATGTAATAATATTAAACTCTTCAATCCATCATATTCCATGACTACTTGACCAAATCCCATCAAATAATCATCAGAAAGAATCAAATGAAACGAAGATCAAAACTGCATTTTTTACCCACGATCATTTAGAAAAACAAAATTCCAATATAGTCAATCTACTTTCTCCTACCAAAAACTTTACATTGTTAACCAATTAAATTTCACATTCTCGCAAACAAACCCACCAATCAAATTGCTGAATACATTAGAATCGGAAAAATAATCAACAATTTTCCCGAAAAGAACAACCCTAATTAATTACAGCACGTCAAAAATCCCGAATGAAACAAACAAAAGCCAGCAATAGAATCATTACATAAAAGAAATGAGGAATACCTGCATTGAGAGATCGAAGAATCGATCAATCAATGAATCAGTGGCCATGCTCCTTGGCGTGCTGTTGGTGCTCGAGATGGCGACGTTCCTCCGGAAGAGCAATAAGGTAGGATAAGATCAAGCCGCCGAAGCAGACATGGTAGAGAGGGTCGATGGAGTCTGTCTCGATGTACTTTGCGTGATAATTGTCCAAAGCTTTCTGCACCGATTTCTTCGCATAGTCGATCGATAGCTTTGGTTTCACGTAGTCAGGCACCTCCTTCACTTTCAAACCCCTAATCTCGCTGTAGAATCTCCTTAGCGCCATTTGTCTTTTGATGTTTTAGATTGGGATTTTGAGTATTGGAAAATTGAGGAAATGGAGCTACAAACCCTAACCTCTCTGATTTTCGCTGACAGGCAGAGAGAGTGGCGGAAATTAATTATATGTGGGAGAGATCTGGTTGAGTGAATTCGACGGGCTTTTACAATCATGCACCTTTTAACTGTGGGACCGACAGTGAGTCTGGGGCTGTACATTGTTCGGGTCAACCGGAATTAGATAGTAGGCATGGCCATAATACGGTTCGGGGAACCGGAACCGTCGGTTCGAACCGGTCCGAAACCATAACCGGAACCGGTGTGAACTGGAACCGAAACGAACCGGAACAGGAACCGAAAAAATTCGGTTCGATTCCGGTTCCAGCAAATGAGGAACCAGAATCGGCGGTTCCAGAGAACCGGTCAGAACCGGACTGGAACAGCCGGTTCTCCGGCGGCGGTTCCAGAGAACCGGTCATGAACCGGACTGGACGCCTGTTCTTCCGGCCGCTTAGAACCGCCGGTGGTCGAACCGGCCGGTTCTAGCCGTTGTAACTGTCAGATTTCTTTGCAGTTTTTTTTTTTTTAACTTTGTTGTGAAATGTTTAAATACCGCCCCTCCCAACAGCCATAACGGCTATATTCGCTAGTTTTAAAGTGGTAATTTTGGAAAAAATGAATTTTTGGGATTTATTTATAAATATCCTCATTTATTACAAATCATTAAAAAACAATTCAACTCCTCTCCTATATCTCCGTACAATATACTAACTCTTCTGATGTACTTTTCCTAACAATATACTACACTCTACTTTCCTATATTTTGCATTCGTACTCGTTCTCTACTCTGAGCAATCTATTATTAAGTAATTATTTCCTCTACATTTTTTAATTCAATTTTCCAATTACTATTTATTATATTGATAATGGCAAGTGGAGAATACTCAAAATTCGGGTAAGGGCGAAGGTGAAGATTGGCAGAATCATCTTATTTCCTAGAACGAACATGCTATGATATGATTTCCCGACAATTAATTTTGACAGGTTTTCAAATGAAAAATTTTGTGAATTCCAGACTCAAGTAATCCCGAATTTATAATGAGCAATTTTCAAGAAGATGAAGAAGCAAGAGCAAGGACCAACCGAGCAAAAATTGTTCTACATGAGCAAGACAAGTTCCGACATATTCTCCATTCATTTCACCAAAATTCAAAGTGAGAAAATGGTACAATGTAATGTTGCAATTAATTGTGGACAAAATCTTATAAATACAACAAGCGGGCGCCGGTCATGTGATCATTATAGAAGCATTTGGCGGCAATAACATCTCAACAAAAATAGGGTTATCGGTCTCTAACACCAAATTCCCGGGTACGCTTCTAACCTTTCTTACTTTTAAGATGAATTTCTGAAAAAATACAAAAAGAAGAATTAACCAAAGAATGAGTTTCTATAGAACATTTTATCGTTGTTAGTTTTTGGTGATAAAAAGTAGGTTTTTTAATAATTATGTCAAAAAGGCTTTAAATCCTTGTGCTAAAAGAGTACCAAGAATACTGTAAACGAACTAATTATTTCTTTATATAAAAAAGAAAAGAAAGAGTTAGAGCTTTTTTTCTCCATTGAAAAATTCGTTGTTTGAATTTGTTGTGATGTTATCTTGCGAGTGAACTTGGCAAAGGCATTCTTATATGGGTTATTACACTGTCAATTTGCGATATGATGGATTGATTGGAAGGAATTCAAAAAAGAAGTTATTGGTTTTCGTGTTTTTTTTGATGATACAAAAATACTGCAATAATGTTTATAGTAGTAGATTGTTTCAATTTTAGATGAAATATAGAGTTGACAAAAAAAAAAGTTTTTCATTTCATTTGAATAATTGCTTCTCGCAAATACTTAGATCAATTATTTGACGTTAAATCATAATTTGTGAACCAAATATTTGGTGGTGAATTTTTCAATATAAGATGTGCAATGCATGTTTAATATGTGTAACAAGATGGTTTGAAATTCTTGATCTCTTTATTTCTCCGAATTATAAAAAAAGACTATTTCATATTTATGGACACATCCCCAATGATGAAAGCTTTGGCTGCCTACAATTTTGTAAGAATAATAAAAGATCAAAACGTTTCCAATGGGATCGTCCCAATCGTTTGGAATTTCTAACACTATGAAGTTACTAAACGAGTCTTTTTTCTTAAACTAAAAGGGAATTAGTATTTTTTTGTTACTGAATAATATTGAGGATATCTAATTTATATCGCACAAAATGTGGGAGATTTGTGCAAAAATTTAGATGATTTAAAAATTTTTAATGATGCTAACTGATAGATTTAGTGGGATTTATTATCCCACATCTATTTTTTTTACCTATGTGTATTAATAATTGTTACTGCCTCTGCAAGAATTTCAAAATATGATGATTATATTAAAAGATTGTATTTTTTCTAATGAAAAAAAAATGGTTATCTTATTTTAAAAATATATCACTTTTATTGTTGCTATTGGGTATTGATCCTAGATGCTAGAAGTGGATGTTTTATGTGTATTATTTTGACTATTTATTATGACGTGTTAATTCTTGATGTAGAGATAATGTTTTGAGATATAAATTACTAGTGCATGAATAAACAAAATATTATCGTCAATTATAATGGAAGTTTGTTCAGTTTCTAGTTCATGCTACTTCTATTTCTACTTCTTTCTTCAGCTCCTTAATATTCACAATTTTCAACAGCAAAGGGAAGTGGTGTTGAGTGTTTGCTCACAAGTTTTTTATGCAAAGACCAAAAAAGACAAGGGAATCCGGGTTCGTCATTTTCTTGAATTTGACAATTTATCTAACAACTGTCTTTTGAGTTTTGGTGATAAATTTGCCAGATGTCAGCATTTTACCAATTAGATTGGTGGAGTCGTCACAGCAATAACTTTTCAATTCTTCTTTACTTGCAAAACAAATTTCAGCAGCTCCGGTCTCACTGTTAGCGCGTTGCAAACAAGTTTTAGTCAAGGAGTAATCATACTTGATAAACACGAGTATTGTTAATGACACCCGCATTCATTAGAACACAAAACGTGGTGATGATTGGACCCAAAGCCGAAACATATAGAAGCCACGAAGAATCACAAAGAATATGAAGATTTTATTTGATTTATACGTATGAGTCCTCAACGGGATACATCAAAACGCGGTGGTGCAAGATAGCGAATTAAAGGTTAAGGGGGTGAATTGCATATCAGGTAAGTACGGAACTACGTGGGTTTGAATTCTCTCCTAAACCCAAGGGATGACGTAGGCAACTTAATTTTTTTTTTTAAGCCATTTTTTTTTTTTTTAAATATGTTCAAACTTAAAAAAAAAAACTTCAGTTCAAGAATTTTTTTAAAAAAAATCATTAGTTCATACACTTCAACAATTCAAAGTCTTTAAAAAAATGAATTTAATTTGAAGTAATTTCTTTTAAATTTCTTAGGTTATTTTTTAATTGTATTTCTGTTAAATGAATTTTTTTTTTAACCGGTCTTTCATATTAAGAATTTTTTATGTTCCATAATTTTTTTTTAAATCTGCGGTATTTCAAAATTAAAATTTAAAAATTATGCGATCGCCGGAAAACCAAGTCGAAGACCATCGGTTTTGTAATCTGCATCGGAACCGGAACCGGAGCGGTTAGGATACCGGACGGTTGGAACGGAACCGGAACCAAGACCATTTTTCGGTTCGGTTCGGTTCAGCTTTCTGAACCGGAATGCTCGTGGCAGTCTATAGATAGTTCGAGTTTGCATATTGCTTTGTACCGCGTGGAGCCTGAACACTATTTGATTAGTGAGGCGAATTTCATTTAAATAAATATTATATATATATTATATTAATATATATATATATATATATATGCAGTAGTGTTCAAGAACGTGCATCTCATTGAACATACCCATTAAAATCCTTTTTGAGTGTCCTTTGCTGAGTAGGCCAAATGAGGGAGAGCCCCTTTATTTGTACTTGGCATCAACTCTAGAATTGGTAACTTTAGGTTTAGTTTATGAAGAAAAATGCGAATAATTCCGAGTATATTACGTAAGTAAGGTGTTACACGGAGGAGAACTTAAATATCTTACTATTGAAAACTTGGCTTTGTAGCTTTAACATCTGTTATTAGACTCTGATATTATTTTCAATAATATGAAATACACGTTCAGACAAACTACCCACTCCGTAAGATTTTACAAAGAGCTGAGACTTCCGACCGACTGATAGAAGGGTCCATTCGTTTAGAGGAATTTGATATCAAGCGTGTAACTCTCTCGACCTTGAAAGCACAAATCTCAATAGATTTTATAGCAAAGTTCTCGAGAGAAGAGACAAAAGTGATGAGGGTGACATTCAAAAAAAAAAAAGGCTTGGAAGTTATACACTAATGGTGCATCTGTGATGCAAGGTTCCAAAGCAAAAATATTTTTGATTGGTCGAGGAAAGATCAAATTCAAATATGCAATATGCTTTAACTTCCCCTTGAGAAACAATGTAGCTGAGTACAAAGCTCTTATAACCGGTAATAAACTAAAACTAGAAGTATGAGTTAATAAACTCAATATTTTTTGTGACTCACAATTGGTTGTTAATCAATTATTAGGTACCTTTGCAACAAAAGAAGAAGACATGATAAGGTTCCACAATTTAGCCAAAACTCTTTTAGACCAAATTGTTCAAGAAGGCAGCGATTGGGAAATTTCACAAATTAACTGATCAGAAAACACAATAGTCAATACGTTAGCCAAGTCGGCAAATCGAGGTGAATTATGAATAGAAGACGTGATGATGATATAGAGAAATGTATGAGGCAAGAAGAGAAGTTCCTTTATATCATTAGTTGTATAGCCGAACATGTACTACAGAAGTGTGAAGAATTTGTATCTAACCTAACTACATTTAGGTACATCAATTCCTATCTTATAGGAGTCCAAACTAATAGATAAACTTATCTATTTACAGTTGGCACAGTTCGGCTTATCACGCCCACCTCAAGATTGGGGTGCCATGATGAACACCAACTTGCAGATCTACTTAGATTGACATACATTTGCAACATGTCTGCAAGTTGATCTTTGGCTGAGACATGTGCAATTCTAAGAAATCCC